GAGTGATGTGGAATATTTTCTCATATATTTGTTGGCCCCTTGTAATGTCTTCTTTTGAGAAGTGTCTGTTTATATCTTTTGCCCACTTTTGAATGGATTATTTTGGTTTTTGCTTAAGTTGTTTGAGTTGTTGTTTAAGTTCCGTATAGATTCTAGATAGTAGACTTTTGCTGAATGTATAGTTTAGGCATATTTTCTACCATTCTATAGGTTGTCTGGTTGGTTGGTAGCTGATTTTGCTTTGCAGAAGCTCTTTAGTTTCATTAGGTACCATTTGTCAATTTTTAGTTTTGCTGCAATTGCTTTTGAGGATTTAGTCATAAATTATTTGCCAAGACTGATATCCAGAATGATGTTTTATATGGTTCCTTCAAGAATTCTTTGTTTTTTGGTCTCACATTTAAATCTGTAATTCATCTTTGGTTAATTTTTGTTTATGGTGATAGATGAGAGTCCAGTTTCATTCTTTTGCATGTGGCTAGTCAAATATCCCAGCACAATTTATTGAATGGAAAGTTTTGTCCCCATTGCTTAATTATGTTAACTTTGTCAGATATTAGATGGCTATAGGTTTGCAACTTTATTTCTGTGTCCTTTATTTCTATTCCATTGGTCTATGTGTTTGCTTTTGTATCAGTACCATGCTCTTTTTATTACTGTAACCTTACAGTACAGTTTGAAATCAGATAATGTCATGCCTCCAGCTTTGTTCTTTTTGCTTAGGATTACTTTGGCTATTTGGCTTATTGTGTGGTTCCAAATAAATTTTAGAACAGTTTTTTCTTTCCCAAATTCTGGAAAAATGACTTTGGTAGTTTGATAGGAAGAGTGTTGAATCTGAATTTTGCTTTGGCCATTTTTATATTTATTCTTCTAATCCATGGGCATAGGATAGTTTTTCATTTGTTTGTGTCATCTATGATTTCTTTTAGCAGTGTTTTGTAGTCTTCTTGTACAAATCTCTGGCTGACTTGATTAGATACATTTCTAGCTTTTTTTTTTTTTTGGCTATTGCAAATACAATTCTATTCTTGATTCAGCACTCAGCTTCAATATTACTAGTATATAGAAATTCTACTGATTTTTGCACATTGATTTTGTATCCTGAAACTTTGCTGAATTTTTTTGTTTCAGGAATCTTTCAATGCTCTTTAGGGTTTTCTACATACAGAATACTACTGGCCACAAATAGAGTTAGGTTAACATCTTCTTTTTCTGATTAGATGCCTTTAATTCTTTATCTTTCTGGATTTCTCTTTCTAGCACTTCCAGTAGTTTGTTGAATAGGAGTGCTGAAGATGGGCTCTCTGTCTTCTAAGGCAATGGGCTGATATGTGCAGTACACAGTTGTCTGAGCTCCTTGCTCAGCACTATGTTGGGGTAGGTCCAAGATGGGTGTGGCCTGCCTAAATGTCCCCAGATGTCAGGCACAAGCACCAGCACTTAGCAAGTATCCAGTGGACAGCCACTAAACACCCAAAGGTGTGCCTAGGCATGGAGCTGGGAGACCTCCTGAGCCCCAAGTTCTCTGGACAGGAATTAGAGGAGGCCTAAATTTCTAATCCAGAAGAGCTAGTGCTTCCAATGCCTGGACATATGCCTTGGTATGGAACAGAGAGAGTTGCCTGTGTGTGATGCAGAGAGAGCCACCCTTCACCAAGATCTCTGCACAGTATGTAGGGGGCAACTCCAGGTTGCTGAACCAGGTGAGTGGGTGCTCTGAATGTCTGAAGATCTGAATGGGCATAAAGTGTAGATGGCCTGACTGCACCATGATCCATGCCCAAAAAGGGCGGGATTGTTCAGACTACTAGTCCATGCGAGCAAGTACTCCAAATTCCTGGAGATGTGTCTGCATGTGTTGTGATGAAAGCCCCACTGCATCACAATCTATGCACAGAAACGGGCAGCTAAGGCTGTTGATCCAGGTGAGGCAGTGCTTCAAATAAATACCCGGAGATCTGTTTGAGCGTTGAGGGCAAAGTGCCTGCTATAGCACAATTTATGCCCATGAAGAGTGGGGCAACTCAGATTGCTGATTCAAGCAAATGGGTGCTCCAAATGCTTGGATTTCTGCATGGAGGTGGAATGGAGAGGGCCCTGCTATACTACAATCTCAAGGGAGCATGCTGGGGAACCCATTAATGGCATATGCAGGTCAGTTTCACGTTGCCAGCTGGCCTTGAATGAAAGTCTCATCACTCAGGAGAAACTACAGCTATAGCAGCTCTTTTCCTGCCCCAGGGCTTCAGCAGGGGAGCGTACAATTCTGGTGCCTACTGCTGTGGTGCTTTCTACAGTTCTGGCTATGGAGGCCCCTGCCCTGCTCCAGAGCAGCTGTTCCAATTTCTTACCTGAGACTAAAATACCTGCACGGCCATGCTGCTAGGTCTCAAAGGAATGGCTGATTTTGTATATGCCTGGATTGAAAATGGCATCCTGCTCTCAGTCCTCAGCCTGGGCAAATGTCTGTAGTTTTTCCTGGTGTTTTTCCCTCACAGGTCTCCAAGCCTCTCCCCAAGTTAACACCAGGACTTTAAAGAAACAAAATATTCTCCCTCCTCTTGGGTTGCTCAGATCCCCAGTAGAAAGGTGAGTCAGAGGGAGGCTCTCTGCCTCTCTGATGTACTGGGGCTTCACTTACTTTTATCAACTGGATGCCATCACGTGGACTGTTTGCCCACATTCTCCTCCCTGGGGCCTGGAGCACCCTTCACAATACTGGTGGATTCTCATTTTTCTTCTTGAATTAAAGTTTACAAAGTTGCTCTTTACATACTGTCTTGCTATTTCCAAGTCACTGAGGCATGATAAAAGGCTTTAATCTGTCATCATGGAAAAATAATCTGTTATTACAGTTAGTTTACATCCTTTTCAAAATATAGAAGTCTCTTGTAAGAAATGTGATTTGCAAATATTTTTATTTAGTCTGTGGCTTGCCTTTTCATTCGTTTATATTACCTTTTGCAAAGTAAATATTTTTAATTACAAATAAGCTCAACTTGTTATGTTTTTAAAAACAAATTGTGCTTTTGATATTGCAGTTAAGAATGCTGCCTAACCCATAGTCACAAAGATTTTATCCAATATTTTCTAATAGAGATTGTAGAGTTTTACATGTAGACTTTTGGTTGATTCCAAGTTGATTATTTTATAAGATTAAAAATGTGGGTCAAGTTTTAATTTTTTGTTTATAACCTATAATTGTTCTATTACCATTTGTTGAAAAGTATATACTTTCTCTATTGAATTCAGACCTTCATTGAAAATAACTTTATATTTTTGTGAATCTATTTCTGTACTGATTATTCTATTTTTGTTAATCATTTTACTAATATTACACTATAATGATTATGTATATTTTATAGTAAATCTTGAAATCAGATCATGTGAGTCCACAAATAGGTTTTTTTTAATCAAAATTTATTGCCTAGCCTAATTACTTTATCTTTCACTATAAATTAAAGTGTCAGCTTGTTGATATCTACAAAAACAGAAAATCTATCTAGGATTTTCTTTTTTGTTTAGATTATGTTGAGTTTACAGATCAATTGTGAAACCACTGACATCATAACAATATTGAGTATTCCAAGCTATTGAACATGGTATATCTCTCCATTTCTTTACATCTTCTTTATTTTTTATCATTTAAAAAAATTTTAAGCACACAGATACAACACACATTTTGTTAGATATATACCTAAATGTGTCTGTGAATAGATACAGTGTTATTTGTTTATTTTCAATCCGTATGTCTTTCATTTATTTTTCTTGCTTTATTTCATTGGCTAGAACTTATAATATTGTGTCCAATAGGAGTGGTGTCAACCTTACTGTTTCTGATTTTGGGGGAAAGGTAATCAATATTTAACCTTTAAATATAATGTCAGTTGCTATCTTTTTGTAGAACCTACATGTCAATTTGAAGATATTCCCCGGTTTCTAATTTGTTAAGATTGGATAGTTCTAATATTAGTTTTGATATCACTGGTTGATTGTATTCTTCAAGTCTTCTATGTGTTTACTGATTTTCTATTTTTTCCATCAAGTTCTAAAAAGTATTGTAGTGTCCAAGTGTAACTGTGGATATGTCTATTTCTCCTTTCATTTCTGGCTTGTTTTGCTTCTCATATTTTGAAGCTCTGCTGTAAGCTGCATACACACTTATGATTCATATGTCTTCTTGGAGAATTGGTCTTTTTGTTGTTATATAATGTACTTATTTATACTAGATAGTATTTCTTGCTCTCAAGTAAACTTTATATAGATATGGTAACTCCATCTCTATTTTACTAAAATTTGTATAATATTTATATTGATATCTGATTATCTATTGACATTTGAGGACTATACAGAAATTTTATAAAAAGAGTACTACAAGCTATTATAGTTTATAGCTAAGTACTTGGATCTCTAATTTATTATGTTGCTAACCTCTATTTTATGATGATTTCAGAAAATGAAAAGTACAGAAATTAATTGTCTTTAAAACAATTGCAACTATATTTTATTCTTGAAACTAAGTCATATCTTAGAGTTCAATGAACTACATTTCCAAATTTATGTAATTTATTCTCAACTATTTTTTAGCTATAATTAGTTAATTATATATTCTTTTAATTTGTTTTCCTATTCGTTTTATTTTTACATCCTCTCTAAGTGCTAGTTAGAAGCTATATTTCAGCTGACTTACATGTTTTGATGAATGAGCATAGTTTCCTTGAGGGTCACAAATACAATAAAAAATACCTACATTTGGGAGACTAGGCCAAAAGATCCTAATTATAATAATGAGATCCCATCCACCCACTCCAAGTCATTTATACTTCCCTAGGAATTATGTCTCAACAAATTAAAAATACTAACTCTGTAAATAATGGGAGTCTCTAATGTGTTTGTATATAGGTTGTTACCTTTCTTTGTTACAATGTTACTTAAGTAGCTAATAAAAATATGCCTTTGAAATATAAATTTTATTGTTTGTTTCCTCATTCCAACAGCTGCAGAAATAACTGTTCAGCCAACTGTGGAAGAGGTCTCCGACACCTGCACTCAAGAATGTCTCATCTTGGGCCATTCTGATGCCTGCTGGATGCCGGCATCTCTGACCCATTCCAGTTCTTCGCAAGCACGGGCCTCTACTCACCACCACAGCCCAACCGTGACACAAACCGTTGCTCTCTGCCACAGCCCTCCAGTGACACAGACCATCGCATTGTGCCACAGCCCTCCACGGATACAGGCCTCTGCTCTCCGCCACAGTCCTCCGCTAGTGCAGGCTACTGCACTTTGCCACAGCCCACCATCAGCACAGGCCTCAGCCCTCTGCTACAGCCCTCCTTTAGCACAGGCTGCTGCAGTCTGCCACAGCTCTCCTCTGCCACAGGTTACTGCCCTCCATCTCAGCCAGGCCCAAATGTCAATTAGTTTACAGCAAGGTCGGGTGCAAGGTGCTGATGGACTATGCTCTGTTGATCAGGGAGTGCAAGGTAGTGCAACATCTCAGTTTTATACCATGTCTGAAAGACTGCATTCCAGTGATGATTCAATTAAAGTAATTCCTTTGACAACCTTCGCTCCAGGCCAACAGGCCAGACCCTCTAGTCCTGATTCGCCCGTTATGGAAGAACATCCCTTGTAAAGCTAAAATAGTTATTTCAAACTTTCAGAAAAGAAGTATGCAGTCAAAAGTTAAGATACAATTTCAATGAGTATTCTGATTATCAGGTTTGTAAATAGTTATGTAAATAGATACAGACACCAGAATAAGACTAGAGCTAGACCCTTAGTCAAAAGTTAACAAAAAAATTGCAATTTGTTTAATTCAGAATGTATATTCAAAAAGAAAAGGAATTTAACAATTTGCATCCCCTTGTACAGTAAGGCTTATCATGACAGTGTATACTATTTCTGATGTACAGTATTTTTGTTGTTTTTTGTCACCATGTGCAATATTACTGATTTTTTCCTTTCTGATTGTGTGGAACCAGTATGTACCTAATGGAAAGCCTAGAAATATCTTATTTTCCAAGTTTACCTTTAGTTTATCTCAACTTTTCTTCTGATAATATTTAAAGGTGTACATACTCTAGCTTTTTTTTGGCTTTTTGTTTGATTTTTTTGTTGCTTTCGGTTTTTTTTGTTTTTTTTTTTGTTTTTTTTTTTTTAGTGTTTTTCCCTTCAAAATACACAGTAGGTAGTGTAAATACTGCTTGTGGTTTGTGTCTCTGTCTCTGCTTTTATATTTTCTACTTTATTCCAGTACTATATTGTTGATATAATTTGTATATACATTTTCAATAAAGAATATATATAAACTGTACAGATCTAGGTTTATAACCTATTTCTCTACTCTTTAGTAGAGTCCGAGACACAAAAGTGCAATATCTGCCCAAATTAGGCAACTATTTGCTAAAAAGGGCCTCTTTTTACTTTAATAGTTTAGTGTAAAGTACATCAGAAATAAAACTGTATCTGCCATTTTAAGCCTGTAGTCCATTATCACTTGGGTCTTTACTTCGGGGAATTTGTATGTAACAGTCTAGAAAATTAAAAGGAGGTGGATGCATTCAATGCATGAGTCACTTACAGTGTTGACTGCAAAGTACTATTTTGTAGAGAAACTCAGGAAGATTTAAATGTTGATTTGACAGCTCAATAGGCTGTTACCAAAGGGTGTTCAGTAAAAATAACAAATACCTATAACTGTACATAAAATCCACATACTAAATCTACAAGACTAAGGGATTTTTCTTATTCTAGCTCAACTTACTGAAGAAAATGACTAATAACAACAGGAAAGTCAGGAACAAACTTTTTAAGAAATGTAATTCTAAACCGACATCAAACATAGAATTTTAAGGAAAAATGCAGAGAGAGAAATAAGGCTCATGACTGCTTCTTGCGGTCAACAAGAATATACACAAAACAAAACAAAACAAAAAAACAAGAAAATCTCATATATAATATTAAATATGTCCTTCTAAGCAAAGAAACAGTATTATTCAGAGAAAACATTAGTTTTCTTCTGTTATCTGTTCTTTACTTTTTTTCTTTTATCCTCTTAACTGGCCATTATCTTCTATGTGCGTATTTCATAAATTTACAGAAACACTACCAATTTATTTTTCTTCCATAGTAAAACTGAGAAAATATCTTGTTTCAGTGTAACACTAAACCAATTGATGTTTAATGAGGGCAGTCGGGAGGAGTGAATATCTCCTATTGATTAAGTTAGACATAGATTTTGTGATGTGTAACTTGATATTTAATTTACAACTAAACTATGTGTAAATTGTGTAACATAAACTGTGGTAATTGCATAATTTCATTAGTGAGGATCTCCACTGAATGTGGAGAAAGCTTTCCATGTGCCCAGCAGGTTAAGTGCCGTTTTCAGAATATATATTATTCCATCGATTGTAAAGCTCCTTAAATCATATTTGATTGGACGTGCAGAATAACTTTTAACTATCAGTTTAACCCAATTAATATATTTATTTTTCTTTTGTGTTTGTTGATGTTCCAAGGGATTTGGAGCATACTGGTTTTCCAGGTGCATGTGAATCCTGAAGGACTGATGATATTTGAACGTTTATTAATATTATATAAATGTGTTGCTATTGTTGCTATTGTTGATGAAAATTTTGAACTTGAAGATAAAGAAAAAATAATGACAAAAATCAGTGCTTACAGTAGATTTTAGAACACTTTTTGCCTCAACAACTTGAAAGATTATGTGAATAAGATTTTTTCTTGTATTTTAATTATTTTCACATTTTCTCTCTGCAAACCTTTAATTTTGTTATGTTCTACACACACACACACACACGCACACACATACACACACACGCACACACAGACACTCTTAACGGATACAAAAGGAAGAGGCTGAAAGATTATTAAATAACTTATCAGGCATCTCAATGATTACTATCTATGTTAATGAAAATCGAATAGGACCCCAAGCTGGATATTTGGGATTTTTATTCTGGTAGTATAATTTACTGAGTTACTTGGGAGGTTCCTAAATCCTCATGTCTAAAAACTTGTGAAGTTTTGACACCTTTCCTATACATATAGGAATGAACCAATATGCTTTTATTACCCTTTCTAACTCTGATTTTATAATCAGACTTAGATTTGTGTTTCGAATATTAAATGACTGGGCACCCTCTTCTTGGTTTGCACCGGAGAGGCTTTGAATGGAAGCAGGCTGAGAGTAGCCGAAGAGGCAAGGGGAGTGAGCCCAGTTATTCTCCCCTATGCATTCTCTTTCTAAGCTTCCACTAGGACTGACCCTGGAAACCTGTAACTTCTAGGGCTTCAGATCTGATGAAATCTGTTTCATCACATTACAGATTCTTTCTTTGACTGAATTAGACAGAGGTATCGGTTGACACAGCTCACAGGTGGCTATTGTGATGTATGAAGATGTAGTCCTAGAACTGCAAAATGTCTTAACCGTCAATCAAAAAGTAGTTCTGTTTTAAAAAGAAGGATTTGGTTTTATTTGAAATTAAAACTTCAAACTGAATGTCTTATATGAGAATACTAGGTTCAATCAAACTACTTTTTCTGTTTTGTGTCCATATTCAATTAGATTGAACTTATTAATTTTCTAGCTATCGCATTACTATTACACGTGTAAGTATGTATTCAAATACTAAGTACCTTTATGCTACGTGCATACACACTCTTTTCTTAAACTTTATCTTCGTTTTAACTAATATTGTGTCAGTGTATTAAAAATTAGCTTTTACATGTGATGACTACAATGTAATAAATTTAGAGAGTAATTTTGTGTAGTCTTATTTAGTTACTTAACATTTTATTTTTAATTATATATGTTTGGTTAGAAAAAATGATTGTTAAATGGTTAGTGCTATTGTGTAATGGTAACAGTTACAAAGAGCCTCTGCCTTCCCAAACTAATATTTATCACACACAGCCATTAAATGGGAAAAACTAAGACTAAAAAAAATCACAAATTGTTCAGTTCTTAAAACGTAATCATATCACACACAAAACAAAAATCCTTTTCAATCTTGAGAAAGTTAAGGGAGTTTTACTCACGTATATTTCAACATTAGGTTTTTTTTGTTTGTTTCTTTTTCATGTTATTACTGAAGTTGTGTGTACTTCCTAATATACATTTATGAAAATCTACTTGTTTAGACTTTATTTATACACTTCTGATTTATATTTTTCATTATTATTATTTCTTATCTTTCTTTTATATTTTTTGAAAACCAAATCTATAGTTAGTTTGGATAAAATTTTTATCATTATCATTAGAAACTATGTTGAATGTTTCCAACTGGCCCCATTGGCCTGGAAAACACGGGAGCAAGAGAAGCTGAAATATATTTCTACGAGAACCTTTCTATATTATGTGCCAATTACCACACCAGATCAATTTTATGCAGAGGCCTTAAAATATTCTTTCACAGTAGCTTTCTTACACTAACCATCATGTGCTTTTAGTAAATACAATTTTTAAAAGCAGTGCAAGTTGAAAACAGCAGAAACAGTAACGCTCAGAAAAAAAAAATGTATGTGCACAAATAAAAAAAAATGATGGCAATTGTTTAGTGATTGTAAGTGATACTTTTTTAGGAGTAAACTGTGTGAAATTTATGCTATCCCTGCTTAAAACGTTAAAAATTTTATAAAATATATATTTATGTTTGTGTTGTGGAAAGATTCCTCCTCTGTGATATTATACAGCATCTGAAAGTGAACAGTATCCCAAAGCAGTTCTAACCATGATTTGGAAGTAAGAAGGTTGGCTATTGTATGGCTGAGGGTGGTAGTGTGTAATCCAGCAGCAAATTTGTATTAATTGTTCTATTTCAGGTTCTGTATTGCATGTTTTCTTATTAATATATATATATTAATAAAAGTTATGAAAAAACATTTTTATTATGTGTGTTCATTAATGCAAAACACAAAGGATTCACTTTATTTTAAATAAAATTTTAAATTTATGTAGAATAAAATACCCTTTTTCAGTGGCATATTTTAGAGTTAGCATATTTTTGTTCACTCTGATTGCTCCATCAATAAAATTCCTGCCTTCGACATAATTTCAATCACTTTCAAAATTTGTGAACACTATTATAGTGTTTCTGAGCATTTATTTTACATCTTTTAAGACATGGTTTAAGAGAGATTTATTTATTCCCGATTAGACCTTTTGCTTGACTTGATGTAAAAGCTACCTAAGGATTTCTCTGTACAGCCACAGGCGATCCGCGTGAAATCAGTTTCTGGAGATTGTTGATGATATTTGTGGAACAAAATAACTTTACTCCTGGCTTTGTTTTCACTTTGGCTAAATGGAGAGAATTCATTGAAACCTCTCAAACTACATGGTGTCACTCAATATGTAATTCCATTTATAATTTTATTAGCTCCAAATTTTGATGAATTGCATACTGCACTGTTTAGTGCTTTTTGTTTTATTTCTTTTCTCACTTACATATTTATTACTGTGATATTAATTCATTCTCAAATATCCCACTCCCAGTTTTCTTTATTTTTAACATGGTATTTTTTTATAATTAATGAGCCAATGTTCTTACATTATTGTCAACTGAAGTCCATTAGTTTTGTCGGATTTCCTTAATTTTTACTTAGTATCCTTTTCTGGTTCCAGAATTCCAAACAAAATTCAACATTATATTTATTCATTGTATCTTCATAGGCTCCTGTGGACTGTGACACGTTCTTAGACTTCCCTTGTTGATAGTGACCTTGAACAATTGTTAGAGTACTGATCAGGTATTTCGTAGAATGTCCCTTAGTTGAGATTTCAATGGTAAGTTTTCTTGTGTTTAGACCAGGGTTATGGGTTTTTGTGTGGAAGATTTCAGAGGTAACGTATCTCATGTCATCACATGCCATCAGGAGTAAGTGATAGCACATTTTTAACCTGTATAAGTTAGCATTTGGAATCATTTTGCTTTATGCTCATGATGTACTGTTCACCATTGAGGCAGAGACCAACCTGTCCTTTCTAAGTTTGACGGCTAGGACAATTCAGGACATGCTCTTTTCTCAGATTCCCACCTATCATATAGAAGACCACCTTTAAATTTTATTTTACTCAGTCTCTAATAAAACAATTGAAAATAAAATATTAATAGAAACATATTAAGTAAATGTGTTTCCCTTTCCAATTTTCTCAATAGGAAATGAGTTGTGTGGTACATTCCACTAGCAATGAAAATTTCAGAAATTATGGCAAACAGAGAAATTATGGCTATATTAGTACAGTCGTGGCTATACTAATCTGAGGATGTGAAGGTGGTCCCATAAACATCTTTTCACTGGATATTTCCCTAGTGGGGATTATTTTTGACGGCCCTGCTCCCATGGTTTCACTGGTCATTGCCCTAGTGGGGCTTTCTATAGCGGTTCTACCACTTTAGCAGTTACTTGCCTGGGCCTTGAGGCTCTCCAGGGCATCCTTTGAACTCTAGGTAAAGGTAGGCATGCTTCCAAACCTTGTGCAAGTTGCACACTCCTGGAGATGCCACTATGTAGATGCTACCATGGTTTACCATCTGTGCCTTTCAGAGGGCAACCTGCGCTGCACCTGGGCCTGCTTGAGCCACAGATAGGGTAGCCAAAGAGTGCTTTACTGGAATGTGGAGAGTGGAACTTTGTAATAATTGTGCCCCAAAAGCCCTGGCTTTTAGGCCCATAGTGGGTGGTACAACCCAAAGATGTCTGAAATGCTTTTAGGATCATTCTTCCATTGCCTGAATGAAAAGCATCTGGCTTCCTTCTATTCAGACTAATCTTATCAAACACTCACTTGGCCACATCCTTGATGTTCTTTCCTGAACACATTTTCCCACTCTACAACATGGCCAGGCTGAGAATTTTTCAAATCTTTAAGCCCTCCTTCCCTTCCGATTATCAATTCCAACTTTGTTTCTCATATTTTACTATACACAGTCTAATTAAAGTCATGCCATACCCTCAACTGTTAGCTAAAGGATTTCTTCTGCCAAATATTCTATTTCATAACTCCTTCGAGGGAACACTATGACCTGGACATTTCAGCCAAGTTGTTTGCTGCTTTATGTCAAGAATCACCTTTCATCTAGTGTTTAATAACCTTTCCTCATTTCAGTCTGATATTTCATGAGAATGACCTTTGCTGTCACATTTCTACAAACATTCTGGCAGTGATCACTTAAGTAATTTCTAAGAAGACTGACATTTTCTCTACAGCTCTCTTCTTATTTGAAGTGTTTGCCAGATTTTCCCTTTTTAGTCAGTTCCCAGCAATATAGGCTGTTTCTAGCATCCAATTGAAGATTCCTCCAGCCTTTACTCATTACCTAGTTCCAAAGCTGCTTTCATATTTTTTGTGTTTGTTGCAACAGCACCCCAGTTTTTAAAACCAATGTCCTTTTTAGCCTATTTGAGCTACTATAATAAAATATCTTAAACTGAGTAATTTATAAGAAACAAATTTATTGGCCAGGCAATAAATTTGTTTATTGCCTGGCCAATAAATTTAATTATTGCCTGGCTCATACCTGTAATCCCAGCACTTTGGGAGGTCAAGGTGGGCAGATCACTAGGTCAGGAGTTCAAAACCAGCCTGAAAACCATGGTGAAACTCAATGTCTCTACTAAATACAAAAATTAGCCGGGCGTGGTGGCACATGCCTGTAATCCCAGCTACTCCGGAGGCTAAGTCAGAATTGCTTGAACCTGGGAGGTGGAGGTTGCAGAGAGCCAAGATCACACCACTGTACTCCAGCCTGAGAGACTACTCTGTCTCAAAAAAAAAAAAAAAAAAAAAAAAAAAAAAGAAAGAAAGAAAGAAAGAAAAATGTATTGATCATAGTTCTGGATGCTGGGAAATCCAAGAACAAGGCACCAGCAGATTTTTGTGTCTGATGAGAGCTGTTACTCCTGAATGGCACCTTCTTTGTGTCCTAACATGGTAAAAGGAGTGAAAGTCTTCCTCAGGCCTTTTTATACGGGAAATATTTGCATTCATGAGGCAAAGCCTTAATGATCTAATGACCTCCTATAGACCTCAGCAATTAGTACTATCACTGTGGTGGTTAAGTCTCAACATATAAATTTTGGGGGAGATACAGTCAGACCACAGCACTCACCTAAAGAACCAAAGAGTCGGTGGTTCTTTATTGTGTTGAGGCAATGCTTACAGTTGTTTTCAAATACCTAACCTGACCATGGCCATCACATTATGGCTAAAAATTTCTACTTACAACACCATTAGTGAGGAAGGAAGCAGCCAAGGAAAGACTCCAGGGAAACAAGTATTTCAGGCGTGAGCTAGTGAGACAAGAAAGAAAATAAGAGAGGCCTAAAAGAGAATGTTCATGTATCTGATGAGCATTTAATGAGTGCCTATGATGTAGCAAGCATCGTTATAGGTGATGAAAATACAATGCCGATGAGCAAAGCCGTGTCGCTTTTCTAGAGCTTATGATCTAATGATATGCTGGTGACAAAACACAACAAACAAGAAAATATAGACACTTATAAGAGAATGTCTGATGGTGATAAATAAGTAAGGAAAATCAAACAAGGTAATATGATAGAGGCTTTTTTTTTTTTTCTTTTTTTTGAGATGGAGTTTTGCTCTTGTTGCCCAGGCTGGAGTGCAATGGCTCAATTTCAGCTCACTGCAACCTCCGCCTCCTGGGTTCAAGCAATTCTCTTGCCCCATCCTCCCGACTAGCTGGGATTACAGGCATGTGCCACCACGTTTATCTAATTTTTTTTTTTTTTTTTTTTTTTTTTTGAGACAGAGTTTCGCTCTTGTTACCCAGGCTGGAGTGCAATGGCGTGATCTTGGCTCACCACAACCTCCGCCTCCTGGGCTCAGGCAATTCTCCTGCCTCAGCTTCCTGAGTAGAGCTGGGATTACAGGCACGTGCCACCATGCCCAGCTAATTTTTTTTTTTTTTTTTTTTTTTTTTTTAGTAGAGACGGGGTTTCACTATGTTGACCAGAATGGTCTCGATCTCTTGACCTCGTGATCCACCCGCCTCAGCCTCCCAAAGTGCTGGGATTACAGGCTTGAGCCACTGCACCCGGCCCTAATTTTGTATTTTTAGTAGATGCAGGGTTTCTCCATATTGGTCAGGCTGGTCTTGAACTCCCGACCTCAGGTGATCCACCCACTTCGGCCTTCCAAAGTGCTGAGATTACAGGCATGAGCCACTGTGCCCAGCCAATAGAGGCTATTTTATCTAAGATTTGTATCAGTTAAGATAAGTTTAGCTCCGGATTACAGAAAAACCCTAATTCACAGAGCTTCAAAATGAGAAATTTTATTATTTTCCTTTACATGATATCCAGAGGTAAGAAAACTTCAAGCATGGCACATTCAGGCTCTGAATTTGTTTTCCTGTATTTACATTGCTTTCTATTCTTGCTGTTTTTTGGCTCTTTCCTCAGGATGATATTAAAATTTTGCTGCAGTTTCATTGTTGCGTCTAGACACAGCAACATTCTTAGAAAGAGGAGGAGATATCACTCTTTAAAAAAGAGAAAAATCTTCTCAGGAGCCTTCCATCTGACTATTTTATTGGCCAAAATGAAGTCATATGCCCTTATTAAAACCAATCACTGCTAAACTGAGTAAAAAGCCATGAATAAATTAGACTATATGGAATAGATTCGGTGTAGTTAAACACCATAACCAGTTTAGAAGGTATTTGTGAGAAGACATTTGAGAGGAGATATGAACAACAAAAAGAGACAAATATGTGATGAGTCGAGAGTGAGAAGAAGATGACATAGGTAAATGAAACACCAAGAGTAATTTTTGGAAGCCAAAGAGGAAAATAATATCAATGAAATATGAATATTTGGTTCTGGTAAATGTCAGAACTTTAGGTTAATGGTCTCTC